TCTTAGTCCTTGTGCTGTTCCTGCTCTTCTCACACCGAAGAAGGATGGCACGTGACGCATGTGCGTGGATAGTAGGGCAATCAATAAGATTACGATGCGTTACCACTTTCCTATTCCCCACCTAGATGACTTGTTGGATCAGCTTACCGGTGCTTGTGTGTTTAGCAAGCTTGATTTAAAGAGTGGGAACCATCAGATTCGGATCAGACAAGGGGATGAGTGGAAGACCGCATTTAAGACGAGGGAAGGATTGTACGAGTGGTTAGTCATGCCCTTCGGCCTCTCAAATGCGCCCAGTACATTTATGCGGGTTATGAATCAGGCTCTTCGCCCATTCATCGGTAAATTTGTTGTGGTCTACTTTGATGATATTTTAATTTATAGTGCTAATGATGATGAACATGTCCGGCACCTTCGGGAAGTTCTTTCAGTTCTTCGCAGGGATAAATTCTATGCTGCAGTGAAGAAGTGTTCCTTTCTCACTGATAGTGTGGTGTTCCTGGGTTATGTGGTGTCGAAGTTGGGGTAAGCAGTTGATACATCTAAAGTAGAGGCGATAAGTCAATGGCCACAGCCCAAAACTGTCACTGAGGTGCGGAATTTTCATGGCCTTGCTTCCTTCTATCGCAGGTTCATACCGCATTTCAGTAGCATCATGGCACCAATTACAGATTGCATAAAGGATGGTAGGTTTCAGTGGACTCACGAGGCAGAGTCATCTTTCTAATTGATTAAGCAAAAGTTGACTACTGCTCCAGTTTTGGTGCTGCCTGACTTTACCCAACCATTTGAGCTGCATTGTGATGCTTCGAAAGTGGGTATTGGCGGTGTGCTGAGTCAGAACAACCGCCCTGTTGCATATTTCAGTGAGAAGCTTTCTGGCTCGAAATCTCGGTATAGTACTTATGATGTGGAGTTCTATGCAATAGTCCAGGCCGTTCGACATTGGCGTCACTATTTGTTCCATAAGGAGTTCATTTTGTATGCGGATCATGATGCCCTTAAACACCTTGGTACTCAGGATAAGGTTTCTGCTCGACATGCCTCTTGGATTGCTTATCTACATCAATTTACTTTTGTGATCAAGCACAAGGTAAGTGCCCTTAACAAAATTACGGATGCGTTGAGTAGGCGCCAAACGCTCCTTACAGAAATGCGAGTGGAGGTTCCAGGTTTTGACAGGGTGTGTGACTTATATGCTACTGACCCATACTTTTCCCATGTTGTCCAGAAGTTGCAGGAGGGTGTGCAGTCGGAGTTTACATGGGTTGATGGTTTTCTTTTTCATGGCAATCAGTTGTGTGTTCCAGAGGGTAGCTTGAGGTTGAAGATCATTCAAGAGTTGCATAATGAGGGCCATGTGGGTCGTGACCGAACATTGCAGCTTGTTGCTGCTTCTTACTTTTGGCCATCATTGCGCAAGGATGTCAGCAAGTTTGTAGAGCGTTGTCGGGTTTGTCACTTGGCCAAGGGCAAGGCGACCAATGCGGGCTTGTATATGCCCCTAGCTATCCCAACCCAGCCTTGGACAGATGTGAGCATGGATTTCATTGTGGGACTTCCCAGGACCCAGCGTGATTTTGATTCAATCTTCGTAGTGGTTGATCGATTTTCAAAAATGGTACATTTCATCCCCTGCAAGAAGACTACAGATGCTGTCAATGTAGCCTTACTGTATTTTCGTGAAGTTTATCGCCTTCATGGACTGCCTACATCTATTGTGTCCGATTGGGATACTCGTTTCCTCAGCCACTTTTGGCGCAGCCTATGGCGCTCTGTGAATACATGGCTGGACTTCAGCAGTGCATATCACCCTCAAACAGATGGTCAAACAGAGGTTGTTAACCATTCCTTAGGTGGTTTACTACGTTGTTTGGTTGGTGATCACATTAAGTCTTGGGATCAAAAGTTGTGTCAAGTAGAATTTGCTCACAATCATGCTGTTAACCGAAGTACAGGTTTTAGTCCGTTCCAGGTGGTGTATGGCCTTGTTCCTCGTGGTCCTCTTGATCTAGTTCCAGTTTCTACTTCTGTTAAAATGCATGGTAAGGCCGAAGACTTTATTCAACAACTGTACCAGGTTCACTCACAGACTCATGATCAGCTGCAGGCTGCTGTCGCTGAGTATAAGCATGCTGCGGATCTCAAGCGCCGACATGTTGAGTTTGAGGTAGGTGACTTTGTTTGGGCTGTGTTAACAAAGGATCGTGTTCCTGCTCATGAATACAACAAGCTTACCGTGAAGAAGATTGGTCCATTGGAGGTCATTGAGAAAATCAATCCAAATGCTTACCGTTTAAAGCTGCCCAGCCATATTCGTACCTCCGACGTGTTCAATATCAAGCATTTGGTGCCATTTCATGGTGATAATTCTGGTGATGATGATGAAGCTCCTTTCCCGTCAAATTCGAGGGCGAATTTTTCCCACCCTGGAGAGAATGATAAAGTGCATAAGGGATTAGAGTTCATGGCAAAATGGGACCATCACATGGCAAAAAGGGCAAATGATTTCATGATGACTTTGGGTTTGCTCGTTTTTGGAAAATCACTAGTCTAATTTGACTGGAGCCGAGCCAAGGAATAAAACTCAGGGCCTTTGGCCCTGATGCAAGGCCAATTTCGGGCAAAATCCATCGTTTAGGCCCTCGTTTAATCATTTTTGCTATTCATGGTAATTTTTATTTTTGCAAAATCTCTTTCCATGAAATTCGGATTTAGATTCCGTTTGTTGGAGGATGATCCCGAAGATAAGTATTTTCCATCTTAGTAATTATCTCATATTTTCCATTTTTGGGAAAAAATATCTTTTTATTTTATTTTATTTTATTTTTCGGATTTTCCTAGGTTTTTCTACTATTTAATCAGTTGTAAGCCCTTAGAGGCAGTAGTTCTGGAATTCAATAAAATCTTCCTTGAGAATTTTCTCAATTTGTGATTGTTCATCTTCCCTATAATATTTTCGCTACGTCAGATAGGCCGTAGATAAGGAGAGTTATATATTCTGGACAATCTAAACCACCACATATTGCATCATCTAGTATTGACTTGTTATCTTTTTCTTTAAATTCCTTTTTTTTCTAGTTTTTATTTGTGGTATTCTCGCATTGGACATGTTTCTGTTAGTTGTTTGAAATTTTTAATTTTTAATGGTCAATTGAGAGATTTACAAACTCATGATATTTTTTATTGAAGTGGTTGTAAATTAGCAAAATTTTCTGCTTTATCTTTTCATCAAAGTATTTATCGTTCTATTATACTATTTGATCTTCATTTTCTGTATGGAGGCCTATTCCTATTGCTACGAAATGAGGGTCTAGATATAATGTGTCTTTCATTGATAATTATAGTCGTTATTGTTAATTTTATCTTATGAAATGACGTCCTGACTTTCTCTCTATTTATCGTTCTTTTAGAGCACAACATTATGTTGTAATTAAATACTTTCGATGTGATTTGAGTGGAGAACATACTTCTAAAGATTTATCTGAATTGCTTGCTCTTGATGGCACCATTCATCAAATCTCGTTCACTAGCACTCCACAATAAAATGGTTTTGTTGAATGGAAATATAGACACATTGTAAAAATTGCTCATTTTCCTTCTCTTGTTTGCCAAATTCCCTAGTGAATTTTGGGAGTAAGCAATTCCCATTGTTGTTTCTAATTAATAAGATTCCATCTTCTCATACTTCAGGTTTCTCACCCTTTGAAATGTTGTTTGGGTATCTTCCTGATTACTCCTCATTAAGAGTCTTTGGTTATACTTGCTTTGTTATTCGTCTTGACGTAGAACACAGTAAATTCACATCTCGCTCTGCTATATGTGTTTTCTTAGGTTATGAGCAGAGCCAAAAGGATTATCGTTGTTCTGATCCCATTAATAAAAAAAATTATATGTTTTTCGTCATGTTGTGTTTCTTAAGCATATCCTATTCGTTTCTATTTTTGATAATACTCATAACTTGACTAAAACTGACCTCATTTGTATAGATCCATGCTCCGATGATATTGATAGACCATCTTCCCGTACCCCATGTACTGTTGATTTTTCATGTCCTACATATACATGCACTGACTCATGATATCTCGCATTCTTCTATGACCTCTCAAGCACCGCTTGAGAATGTTGATCCAACTCCTGCTCCCCCTCCTTGATATCCTCAATGTACTCATAAATCCACTCAATCACCTAATTTTGCTTATTCTTGTTATTCGAAATCCTTTTGCTATTTTCTTACCTCTATTTATGAGCTATCTGAACTTCTTCCTATAAAGAAGCTATCTAGATCCTCTTTGGCAATAGACTATGACTGATAAACTCTCCATTCTACATAAAATAGACACTTAGGACTTGGTTGCTTTACCTTCAGGTAAACATGTTATTGGTTCTCGTTCGGTTTATAAGATTAAAACCAAATCTAACAATTTAGTTAAGCATTATAACACTAGATTGGTTGCTAAGGGTTTTAATCAGTAGCTTGGTCTAGATTACGAGGAGACTTTTGCTCATCTTGCCAAGATGACCACTGTTCGTACACTTAATACAGTTCCATCGTTCATCAATGGAGTTGCTTTCAATTGAATGCCAAAAATACCTCTTTGAAGGACATCTTTAAGAGAAGGTTTATATGGTTTACCCTCCTGGTCTTTCTCATACTCCAAAATATGTTTGTAAGCATGAAAAAGGCACTTTATAGCCTCAAACAAGCTTCGCGTGCCTGGTTTGAAAAAAATTTCACCGTTGTTAACTCTCTTGGCTTGACATCCAATCATCATGAGTCCGTACTATCCTTTAAGTACACTTCAGCTGGTCGCATTTTACTTCTTTTGTATGTTGATGATATAGTTATTACTGGTAATGATGTTAATGAAATTTTTGATTTGAAATTAGAATTGGCTCTTTGTTTTAAAATGAATGACTTAGGTGTATTATCTTATTTTCTATGGGATCTAAGTTGCTTTTTTCCTAAAGGTTATCTTCTCTATCAATCCATGTAAAGTATGGATGTTATTGAGTGTGCTCGTCTAACTGATACTAAAAGTACTAATACTCCTTTTAAATCCAATGCTCATTATTCACTCTTTGGCGATGTACCCTTGATTGATCCCACTTTGTATTACACCATTGTTGAATGTCTGGTTTATCCCACCATCACACGTCTTGATGTTGCTTATGCTATTCACATTGTTAGTCAGTTTGTTTAGGCTCCTACTACAATTCACTAGGTAGTTGTTGATCTCATTTTGTGCTATCTTTGTAGTACTTGCTTTTAGAGTCTTCTGCTTCCCTCAACCTTCCATTTGGTGCTCTATGCTTCTCTGAAACTAATTCGGCCAGTAACCCCACTAATCAAAAGTCCACTACTGGCTTTTGTATATTTTTGGATGATTTCCTTATCTCTTGGAAGAGTAAGAAACATATTGTTATTTCTCGTTTCTCTATTAAGATAAAGTATCATGCCATGGAATCCACCACCACTGGGATTGTATGGTTACACTAGTTACCTGTAGACATGGCTGTTCCTTCTTTATCTCTAATCTCTATGTATTGTAACAATAAAAGTGCTGTTTGGAGCTCTCTTCAACCCCACTGCTACCATAAAAATCATCAAATTGTCACGTACCAACTATCCAATTTGGAAGGCCATCGTGCTTCCCTATCTTTTGGGACAAAAAGTCTTTGGCTACATTGACGATACTATCAAATCAACCAACGCTTCATATGAAACCTAGGAAATACAGGATAACCTCAGACTTAATTGTCTCAATTCATTACTCTCAGATGAAGTTTTAGCACAGATGGCTCACTATACTTCCTACCATGATATTTGGACTACTTTTAACTCAGCATTTGCTTTCCAATCCCGTGCTAAGGCAGTAAAAGTACACTCGCAACTAGCCACAGATCAACAAGGCAACCAAACTGCAAATGACTATTTCATGCGTATTAAAAAGCTTACAGATGACTTGGCAATTGCTGGCCAAGCTATGAAGTATGATGCTATCATAACCTATTTACTTGCTAGTTTGGGTTCGGAGTATGACACACTTGTAGCCACAATCTCCCAAAAAATGACAACATCACTTTGGAAGAGGCGTATTCCATGTTACTCACTAGTGAAGCTCGTATCTAACACAACAATCAGTTAATTCTAAATGCCCTCGCTAATGTTGCTACTTGACAACAAAATTTTTATGGCAATCGAGGTTAAGGAAATCTTTCCAATCCTCGAGGCAGGGGACGTGTTCAACGCCCCACCATTCATGGATCATGTAGAGGTAATTTCAATCCTGTATACCATTCGAATAATAATTTTAACAACACTTAGTGTTGCCAACTTTGTGAAAACCCAAGCTACACTGCATCCCTCTGCTTCAAACGGTATGATCTCAATTTTCTTCCTCCACTACCTCGACAAAACCCTCAAGCTAATTTTGCTTCAAACCAACTACCCCAACAATCAATTGATCAAGAATGGCATGCTAACACTAAAGCTACTCATCACCTGACCAACAACTTTAACAACCTCAATGTCTATGGAAATGAGTATGTAGGGAATGATCAAATTCAAGTTGGTGATGGCACGGGTTTGAATATAAAACATACTCTCACTTCTTCCTTTTTCACCCCTTCAAAATCTTTTGTCTTAAACCAAATACTAGTTGTCCCTAGAATAAAAAAGAATTTATTATTTGTTCAAAATTTTGCTGAAGATAATAATGTTTATTTCGAATTTCACCCTTCTTTTTTCTGATCAAGGATTACTCGGGGAGCATCCTGCAAAGAAATCATCTCAAAGATGGTCTATATTGTCTTTCTCAGCCTTTTCAATCAATCATTCCTTAGTTTTTGTTGGTGTTCGAGTTTCCATTTCCGATTGGCATTGGCATTGTCATCTTGGACATGTATCCTACTACAAAACAGTCCATCATGTGATTGCTGCGAATAAACTTTATGTTGGATCAAATAAACAATAGTCTATTTGTCCTGACTCTGAGTTGGCTAAAAGCCACAAATTACCTACTTATGCTTCTAATCATCACATCTCTAAACCTCTTGAACTATTTTATTCTGATGTATGTGGACCTAGCTATGTTTTTTCATGTTCTGGTTCTCGTTATTATGTTTGTTTTCTAGATGATTTTACTAAATTTATTTGGGTGTTTCCACTAAAATAAAAATCTGATGCAGAACAAATCTTCTTACAATTTCAAAAATATGTTGAAAGCCACTTTGAAACCCAAATTAAAGCTATTCAAACTGATTGGGGTGGTGAATATTGATGCCTAAATAATTATTTTAAAAATTGCTGGAATCATCATCGACTAGCATGCCCATAAACACATGAACAAATGGGTTCTGTCGAACGGTGTCATCGTCAAATTGTGGAAATGGGCTTAGGTTTGTTATCTCATTCCAATCTTCCAAAACCATATTACGAAGATGTTTTCTTAATGGCAACATATATTATTAATCGCTTACCCACAAAAATTTTGAACAACCATTCTCCTCATGAAGTGGCATATAATGAAAAAAACCAAATTACAATTTCTTTCGCGTGTTTGGATGTGCATGTTGGCCAAATTTACGAGCATATAACAAACATAAAATTAATTTTAGATCCAAATTTTGTATTTTTATTGGTTATAGTCTCTCATATCAAGGATACAAATGTTATATTTATCCACAAGAAAAATATTTGTTTCGCGGAATGTCATATTTAATGAGTCCTCATTCCCCTATATGTCTACTACACATAAAAATCATGTATCAAAGCCCAATTCAATTTCCTTGCACTTATCTTTAACAACACACATCTCAAATGTGCCAACTAATCTTGTGGGTACTGATATGTGTTCTTCATAGCCATTGCAATTTGAAGGAAATTATGACCACACGGCTATCTCTTCAAACACTTCATCAGGTAATCACGCTGTTCCAGCATCTCATGACATTCAACCATCAGTTATTGTTGAAGAGCAACCTACCAACGATGCCTCTTTACCATCATCTCAATTACATTGCATAATAACATGGTCTCAAACTCACTCTCTCAAACCTAAGTAACCATTTATTGGCATCATTAAATATCCTCTACCCAGGTGCTTACTTGTTGAGACCACCTCTACAACTATAGAGCCTTTATGTTACATAGAGGCTTCCAGAGATGCTAGATGGTGAGAGCACAAGGGACTTGATTCCACTACCATCAAACTTTAACCTTGTGGAAAACAAATGCTTCTATAGAATTAAAAGGAAAGTAGATGGATAGATTCATTGATTTAAAGTGCGCCTCATTGCTAAAGGCTACCATCAACAACAATTTATTGATTTCAATGAAACCTTCTGTCCAGTTGTTATACTAGGTACAATCAAACTAATTTTATCAATTGCAGTCATCATGGTTGGAGCATTCGCCAAATAGACATCCAGAGTGCCTTTTTACATGGTTTGTTGCAGGAAAATGTTTACATGCACCAACCACAAGGTTACATTCATCCTAATTTTCCTACACGTGTGTCGGTTGAAGAAGAGTCTATGCAATCTTCGTCAGGCACCACGGGCTTGGTTCTCTCGCCTAGTGGAAAAATTGCAACAATATGGTTTCCTCGGTTCCAAGGCTAACAGTTCTCTCTACTTACTCCATTGGGATAACCTCCAACTGTTTATCTTGATCCACGTTGATGATATTATCGTTATAGGCTCCAACACGAAGGAAATAGATAATCTTATCTCAATGCTTGATCATGACTTTCTCGTCAATGATCTTGGAAATCCGTCCTATTTTCTTGGCGTAGGGGCACTCCGAGATGACAAATACTTGTTATTGACTCAGAGAAAATATATTGTAGATTTGTTAACAAAGGTAAAATTGCAGCACGTCAAATCTGTCCTAACCCCAATGTCAACATCTTCTCATCTATCCAAATTTGAATAAATTGACTTTGATAATCCTCAATTATATCGGAGCACATTAGGGGCGTTGCACTATTTGGGATTCACTCGTCTAGATATTGCATTTGCTGTGCATCATGTTAGTAAGTTTAGGCATCAACCAAAGGACACTCATTGGCAAGTAGGAAGGTGGATACTCTGCTATTTGAAGCATACAGTTAATTATGGATTTCACTTCAAAAACAATTCAACTCATTCTTTCCATGGTTTCAATGATGTGGATTGGGTTGGTGATAGCGATGGTAGAAGAAGTGTGGAGCATATTGTATTTTTCATGGGCAAAACTTGATCTCATGGAGCTGCAAACAACAACTCACAGTTGCTTGCAATAGTACTAAATTCAAGTATAAGGCTCTCTCAAACATAGCAGCAGAGCTTCAATGGTTAAATCAATCTTATGTGATATTCGAATGCCATTATCTACATGTCCTACACTTTGATTTAACAATATTGGAGCAAATTATCTGTCTTCAAATCTAGTATTTCACGCTCGTACCAAACACATCGAAATTGACTTTCATTTTGTTCGTGATCAAGTCTTACAAAACAAATTGAAAGTTTCATTCTTATCTACTAAAGATCAAATTGCAGATTTATTAACAAAACCACTAGCTTCAGTTCATTTTGTTATACTACGTGACAACCTTCATGCACAGGAGCTATCCCTTCGGTTGAGGGGGCGTATTGGAACAAGTACAAGTGAGATAGAATCAAGCAACATTCCTAACAAATTGTAGTTAAGGATTTGAAAAGATTCTGAGATATCAACTGTAATTTGTTAGAAAAAAAAAATATCACCTATTTGTTTGCTGATTTATCTACATTTTGAATTTTGAATTCTATAGATAGTCTGGTAATCAGTTATTTGCAATGTACTATAAATACCCGTACAATGTAATTAGTGAAAAGCAAGGGAAAAATTATTTTCTTCACTCATATGCTTTGAACTCTACACTATCAAAGTGTGAAATTGTGAATGAGCATTTCTATTGTATTTGTTCAAAATTAACTGAGAATTAATTTGGCTACTTAATGAGCTTATGAAAGGAATGAATTGTTAAAGGCAAAATTGAATAAATTTGTTGAAGGAAGTTTTCCCGTTGCGTATACATAAAGTCCATAATGATAAACAGAGGCTAAAATCTCTATGCCATGCATATGCTTTAGTAGAATTGTTGTCTTTAAGGGTTACAAAGTATGTTTACACCATGATAGTCATAAAATATCATCCTTGCATGGGGTTACAAAGTAGTCGTTGAGGGCTGTTTTCTGGTTTGATTCTTGGCAGCTTTTCATGAAAATACTCAATTTTTCATGTAAGGATGACATTATCTAATTGATGGTGAATTAAAATCCATAAATAGGTGATAGATTTATAAAAAAAAATAATAATAATAATAATAAATAATAATAATAATAAATCAACAATCAAAACCATATTATAGTGCCTTTAAATCCAATTCATTTATATATTCAAACATTCAAAAATGTTCTTCAAGTTTTGGAAGATAAATACAAGAGCTTGCAATTTTCTTCTTCAAAACT